GAAAAAATGAAGGAAGGAAGAGAAAATGTAAAGAGGAAGAAAAAAACAACCAATTATCCAAATAATAAACCCACATAATGTAAAACAAAATGTATTTGTGAAAAACACTACATTTGAAAAAGGAAAGCTAGGATGGCCCAGGGACATACATTTAAATAGAAGTGATACTGTTAAGTGATGTTAAACTCCAACACATTGATGGATTAATCCAGTATTGTTTTCTTTCCTAATTCTACATTCATAATCTCACTCCCAGAAGCTTTTAATTGTCAAAACAATAGTGTACTGAACAGTCTATTAGAACACATCCTTTAAAACAATGTGAATATAAATAGTTTTACTCTCTTTCAATGTTTTCAAAACACCCATAAAATACTGCCCTCTCAACTCTGATCTGAAGCAGGGTGAGCTATGCAATTTCTGAATAAGTGTGCAATCTTAAAATACCACCATTCTGTATTTTTCCTTGTGAACTAATTATGTTTTCTTGCACAGGTTTTATGGAGGTACAAGGGAATAAAACCAACCACGTTGGGAGCCAATACTCGGCTCTATGACTGGATACCTCAGAATGATCTTCTTGGTAAGTCTATGGGATGAGGGAGAACTTGTATATTTGGATAAGGAACAAATTGGATAACTATTTGATAGCAAATTCAACAAATGTTCAAAATAGTAAGAGTTTTTCAATCTACTTTCAGATTTTGAAAAGATATAATTAAATAAATGACCACTGATTTATAGATTTATGCTTCTTAGGCTTCACATAAGAATCTTCAGTGCAATGTCCCACCACTCTTCTGGTTTTAGCTGACTTCAGGTATCACCTCTTCAGTAAAGATTTCCCATACTGTGCAGAGGCACTTAATTCCACCTTTTCCTAAGATTGCAGTTTTCTTAGCTGGCAGTGGTCATATACAGTCATCCCTCAGTTTGGCAGAGGAGTGGTTCCAGAAGCTCCAAGTATACCAAAAGCTGGGGGATGCTCGAGTTGCTTTTATAAAATGTACCAAATTTGCATATAACCTAAGCACATCTTCTGGAATATTTTAAAGCATGTTTAGATGACTTTTAATACCTACTACAATATAAATGCTATGTAAATAACACTTTATGCTCCCTCATAGCCTTTGAGGGATTGTTGTGACCGCTTAATTGCTTCTTAGGAGGCATCCCCCCTAATCAGTATTTTTGATCTCCAGTTGGTTGGATCTGTGGATGTGGAACAGAGGATCCAGAGGGTGACTGGACTCAGCTTTCATAGAAAACTCTGAATTCTTCATTAAGTTACTCTATTATTTCCCCTCTGTCTCTGAAATTGTGTTAACATACTGTAATGAAATTCTCACCTACTTTTTACCCAACCCTCCAATTAGGTCATCCCAAAACAAAAGCATTCATCACTCATGGTGGAACTAATGGAATCTATGAAGCTATCTATCATGGGGTGCCTATGGTGGGAGTTCCCATGTTTGCTGATCAGCCTGATAACATCGCCCACATGAAAGCTAAAGGAGCAGCTGTGGATGTGAACATGAATACAATGACAAGTGCAGATTTGCTCAATGCTCTGAGAACTGTTATTAATGATCCTTCGTAAGTATTACTGCTTCCTAGAGGGTCACCAATGATTGCATTATCCATCACACTAGAAAATGTTCAATGTTTCATGCCTTTATATTGGTTTATTTTAAAATAACCACCACATGTCAAATACAATAATCACTTTCTTATTTTATTTATGGAACAAAGTGCCTTACTAAAATTGAAAAAGAAATTAAGAAAAGATGATAACTTCAAACACTATATCATAGAACTTAAAATTAAATAAGTAATGTTAAACCAAAACCAAAACCAACCTACTGCTGTACCGTGGATTTATGACTTATAGCAATCATATAGAAGGGAATAAAACTACCCCATAGGGTTTCTAAGGCTGGAAATCTTCATGGAAGGAAACGACCACATCGTTATCCCTTGGGGTGGTTGGTAGGTTTGAACCAATGGCCTTTCGGATAGAAGCTGAGCATTTAACCTCTGTGCCACAAAGACTCCTATAAGTAATATTAAAACCGAAACTCAAAACCAAACTTGCTGCCATCAAGTTGATTCTGACTCCTGGTGACACCAATTGGGTTTCGAAGGCTGTAAATCTTTAAGGAAGCAGATTGCCCCATCTTTCTTCTGCAGAGTGACTGGTGGGTTTCAACCACTGATCTTTTGTTAACAGCCAAATGCCTTAACCACTACACCTCCAGAGCTCCTAAGTAATATAAAGGGTTATATAAATTCTCAGAATTTTTGCTGGATAAAACCAAAAACCAAAAACTGAACTCATTGTCATCAAGTGGATTTTGACTCATAGTGACCTCTATTGGGTTTCCAAAGGCTATAAATCTTTACGGAAGTAGATTACCTTGTCTTCCTCCCATGGAGTAGCTGGTGAGTTTGAACCACCAACTTTCTGGTTAGCACTCAAATGCCTTAGGCTCTGTGCCACCAGTGTTGCTTTTTTACTGGATAATATGTTCATTTTTATGAATAGTACTTGTTAAGGAGCTCTGGTGTCACAGTGCTTAAGACATTTGCCAAGCTGCTAATGAAAAGGTCCTCGATTTGAACCGAGCAGCCACTCCCTGGGAGGAAGATAAAGCAGTCTGTTTCCATAAAGATTTACAGCCTCAGAAACCCTGTGGGAACAGTTCTACTCTGTCCTATAGGGTCTCTATGAGTCAGAATAGACTATGACAGTGGGTTTGTTTTTTTGTTTGTTTTATATACTTGTTAATTTAAATATTCAAAACATTTAGTAATGTCAGAAATGGAAGTGACAATTTCTCTAATATTAATCATTCAGAAATAATCAACATTTATAGTGTAGCGTAGTGCTTAAGACACTTGACTGCTAACCAGAAGGCTGGCAGTTCAAACCCCCCAGCCACTCCTGGGAAGGAAGATGGGGCAATCTATTTCCCTAGTGACACTGCCTTGGAAACCCAAGGAGGGGTCGATATGAGTCGGGTCCCACTTGACAGCACATAACAACAACAACAACAACATAATATATAGCATTCATCAGTATATATGCATACAGAAAGTAGAGATGTAGAATAATTAATAATTTCATAAATATCAATTGGTACTCCGTGTATATTTAGGTAAAATTTAAACATAATTTTGTTTTAAAATAGTCAACAAAAAAATTATTCTATAACCTTTGCTGATCTTTAGATATAAATCCTTACATAATTTTTTTTTCTCCTCTGGAAGATTTAACAAGGATTAAGAAATAATATACTATACACATGTAAATTTTTGAGCCATTAATTTATGTGTTTTAATTTAAGCCACTCTTAGTTGAACTCCTACTATGGAATCTGATTCCCAGTATGTATTTCTTCTCATTTTAATTTGTCAATATTTATGGCATTTATTTTCTTCAAATTTGTTTAGTCTTTTTGTAATATTTGAAGGAATTCAATGTTCACCATTGGAATCAGAGAGTCTTTATTCTAGTATGTTTTGGATTTATTTTTGAATGGCTGTATCATATAGATTTTTTTTTTAATAGAGACTCATGATAATGAATTTCCTGAGATCGTGTTTGGCATGGTTAGCTCAGTGCCTTTGTTGGAGGATGATTATATCTTAAAATTAGGTTTCTGTTTTTCTCTTCAGAACTTTGTAAATATTACTTCTAATCTTATAGCTAGAAATACTCCTGTAGGATGTCTGAGGCCTGACTAATCATTTTTCTTTTTAGGAGTTGCCTTTTCAGTCTAGGAAAGAAATCTTTTATTTATTTATTTATTTTTAATTCAGATGTAAATACTACATCTTTAGACATTATTTTATAACTTTTCCCTGGGTTATAGTGGAGCCTTAAAACACTATACATCCAACATTAAGAAAAATATATATTCAGTTTTTCACTTCAGAAAATAACTAATGTTTGTTATTTGTTAATTTGCCTTTTAGTTCCATATATATACTTCAGGGACATCAGATTTTAAATTTCCTTTTCTTGAATTTTTTTCTTCTCTTTTTCTATTCTTTTCTCTCTAATTATTCTAAGATCAACTTTTCTTAATCAATGCGATTGCCTCAAATTAATAATTGACTATTTCATCCTAAGCATTTCTCAGTGTTTCTAATTTCTTTATTAATTCTTTATAATGTTATTTTTAACACAGTGTATTTCAATAGCTCACCAATCACCATTTTTCATTCCCTGTTGTTTTTAATTTTATTTCCTATTATCTTTTTTCAAACCAACCTCACTGCTGTGAGTCGGATCCAACTCATAGTGACCCCATGCTTGGGTTTCCAAGGCAGTATTACTATGGAAGTTTTTTTGGTATCTTTCTTTTTTCAGTACATTCACAATCTTATTGTATCTCACATCTTCTTTTTGATGAGTTATCTATTAAATCTACTGATATTCTTCCTCTTTAGTTTTATTTTAATTTTTCATTATTGTTGTTAGGTGCCTCCGAGTTGGCTCCTACTCACAAAGACAACACTATGTGCAACAGAGTGAAACACTGCCAGTCCTGCTCCATCCTCACAATCCTTGTTTCCCGGAGCCCATCATTGCAGCCACTGTGTCAGTCCATTTAGTTAAGGGCCTTCCCCTTTTTCACTGACCCTCCAGTTTGTCAAGCATGATATCCTTCTCCAGGGAATGGTTCCTTGTGACAACATGACCAAATTAGGTGAGACATAGTCTGGCCATTCTCCCTTCCCAGGAGCATTCCAGCTGCACTTATTCCAGGACAGATTTGTTTGTTTGTTCTTCTGCCAGTCCGTGATACTTTCAGTATTCTTTGCCAACACCACAACTCAAAAGCAATAATTCTTCTTTGGTCTTCCTTATTGATTGTCCACTTTTCACATGCATATGAGACTATGGAAATACCACAGCTTGGGTTAGGCACACCTTAGGCTTCAAAGAGATCTTTGCTCTTCAGCACTTTAAAGATGTCTTTTGTAGCAGACTTGCCAGTGCAATATGTCTGATTTCATGACTGCTGCTTCCGTTGGAGTTGGCTATGGAACCAAGTAATATGAATTACTGACAACTTCAATCTTTTCTCCACTTATTGTGATGATGCTTATTAGTCCAGTTGTGAGGATTTTCATTATCTTTATGTTGAGGTGTAATCTATACTGCAGAATATGGCCTTTAATCTTTGTCAGTAAGTGCTTCAAGTCATTTTCACTTTCAGCAATGAAGGTTGTGTTGCCTGTATATCACAGGTTGTGAATAATTCTTCCTCCAATCCTGATACTGCTTCTTCTTCATATAGTGAATCTTCTCAGATTATTTGCTCAGCTTACAGATTGAATAAGTATTTTGAAAAGATACATCCTGGACATATTCCTTTCCTGTCTTTAAACCATTCAGTATCCTCTTAGGAGCCCTGGTGGCACAGTGCTTAAGACATTGGACTACTAACCAGAGGTTGTTAGTTCAAATCCACCAGCCACTCACAGAAGAAAGATGGAACAATCTACTTCCATAAAGATTTACCATCTGGAAAACCCAGTGGGGGTTGCTATGAGTCCGACTCAATTGCAGTGAGTTTGGTTTTTTTGGTTTTGGTATCCCCTTGTTCTGTTTTAATGATAGCCTCCCGGTCTATGATTACAAATGATAGACCAGGTATCTGTACCTGGTACAGGTTCCTCATTTGTACAATTAAATGCTCTGGAACTCCCATTCTTCTCAATGTTACCCATAATTTGTAATTATGTACCCAGTCAAATGCTTTTACATAGTCAGTAAAACACAAGTAAACATCTTTTTGATGTTTTTTGCTTTTAGCCATGATCCATCTGATATCAGCAATGATATCACTTGTTCCACATCCTCTTCTGAATCTGGGTTGTATTTCTGGAATTTCCCTGTCAATATACTGCTGCAACTGTTTTTGAATTATCTTCAGCAAAATTTTACTTGTGTGTGACATTAATGACACTGTTTGATAATTTCAACATTTTGTTGAGTCACCTTTTTTGGAGATAGGTACAAATATGGATCTCTTCCAGTCAGTTGGCCAGGTAGCTGTCTTCCAAATTCCTTGGCATAGACGAGTAAATGTCTCCAGCATGGCATCCTTTAGTGAAACTTCTCAATGGGTATTCCATCTATTCCTGGAGATTTGTTTTTTGACAATGCCTTCAGTGGAGCTTTACTTTTTCCTTTGGTACCATTTGTTCTTGATCATACGCCACCTCCTGAAACAGATGAACATCAACCAATTCTATTTGGTACAGTGACTCTGTATTTTCCTTCTATTTTCTTTTGATGCTTCCAGCATCATTCAATATGTTGTGCATAGAATCTTTCAGTATTGCAACTCGAGGCTTAATTTTTTTTTTCCTCAGTTCTTTCTCAGTTTGAGAAATGCTGAGTATGTTCTTCCCTTTTGGTTTTCTAACCCAGGTCTTTGCACATTTCATTATAATTGACTTTGTCTTTTCAAGTGGTTCTTTGAAATCTGTTTGTGTCCTTTATTTTATCTTGTCATTTCTTCCTTTTGCTTTAGGTATTCTCCATTAAAGAGCAACTTTCAGTCTTTTCTGACATCCTG